CTTGTATCATCAAATAAGTTGTTTTGCATTGACACGATCGAAGGGTTAATCTCCGAAATGTTAAATTGGTATGGGATCTCTATATGAGCCGTTATAACCATGCATGATAATGACTAGATTGCCTGTCTTGGCATTTTTTCAAACGCCGGTATCTGCTCAAAGTTTTGTCGCCCTAGACTGGCCTAGTCTAGCTATAGCGAATAGTTAAGGCGTGGAGGGTCACCCCGTATAGATCTATACACAAACTCCCCCTCTCCCTCCAGGAAACTCTGGTTATAACTATAGGCTACGATCGTACACTCAAATGTGCCAATCGACAAGTCTCACTAGATTCTCAACCTTTCGCGTTTGTTATGTTTTTCACCATGTTTAATGTTTACGTGTATGTTATAGGTTTTCAAATCCAAAGGTATGTATATAAATATACGAAGTTCAATAATTATGTAAAGGTATAGCTACGATCTACTAAGCATGTGAATTTCAGTCCAAGACCAATTAGCATGTAAATGGACCACAAAGGTCCAATAACATGTAAGATGGTAATTTAGGCCCAATAGGCATGTAAATGGACCACCAAGGCCCAACAAACATGTGACCCATAGCTTAGGCCCAAATTAACATGTAAATGGGCCGCAAGGCCCAATAAACATGAAATGGAAAATATCAGGCTCAATATACACTTGAATGGGCCCTTAAGGCCCATTGGCCATGTAACGTGAATATTAGGCCCAATAAAAATTGTTATCGATGTATTTCGTCCATTTGTTATTATTTCGTTGTTTGTTTTAGCTCGAGGTTTACCAAATTGATATAAAAAGTCCTCTTTTTGTAAAAACGACGTTCTTGGCTAATAAGCCTCAAATTTTCAATTAAGGCCCAAATTTTTATAAAAACAACACTTTAGTCCATAGTTTATAAAAATTTGTAATTTCGTCCCAAATGTTTAGAAATTTACGGATTTAGTTCAAAAATTCATATTCTGACATTTTTGGCCCAATTTTGTAGAAAATTACATTTTCAGCCCCTTATTTGCATAAAATGACACTTTCGGCCTAATTTTTATAAAATTTACATTTTTGGCCCAATTTAGAAATAAATGTTATTTTCACCCCTAAATTTGGTTTATTTACATTTATGACTCAAACTTTGATCAAATGACATTTTTAACCCCAAAACTCTTATTTTTCGCAAATTTGGGCCCAAAATCGTGAGGCCCAAATATTAAACCCATTAGGCTAAAATTTACAGTTTTGACCCTTTGAAAAGTAGGGTTATAATAAAAACCCATTTTATATAAGTATGACCTGTTTGGTATGTAAATGTCACTTTTTGCCCTTATCTTTTGGTTTCTTGACAATTTTATAAAGACTTTAAATTTTTATATCTTGATAATATGATGTAAATGTCTTTTAACTTGATAATTTTTGTCTTAGTTCATGGATTTTTTCAAGGTTGCTTAAGATGTCGAGATATGTTAAGACACATTTTTACAAAATTGAAATCACACCATGCATAAAACACATAGAACAACTTGTATTCTCCCCCAAAATCATGGTGCTTTCACCTATGCTTTGATGTTTTGGTTTTGAAGAAGAAATGAAGAGATTTTTGGTCCTAGCAAGCTTTCTTGAGTGGATATCGAACTTACGAGGTTTCTAGGAAGCAAAATCACAAAATAGATGTTGATAAGGAGTGATTTAGCTAAAGAATGAAGTAACCTAACTAAAGTGTACAAGATCTTACCAAGGATGGATGATTTTTTTCGGTAACCCTTCTTGAAAATGCTTAGAGGATCTCGAAAATTTGAGAGGAAATGAAGGAGTTTCTTGTGAGTGTTTGAGAGATTATTTGAAAGAAGTTTGCAAGTGAAGTGTGTGTGTGTGCTCTTCTCGGCCAAGAGATAAAGAGAGAGAGGGTGAGAGGAGCTTGCATGGAAACATGAGAAGTTCTTAGTTACATGTTGAACATATTGCATTGTTATCCTTTAAACAATAATGATGTGTCATGGCTTGGATAATTAGCCATTTCTCCTTTTTGTTTTAGACATGGGCCGAGAATTAAATTAAGAGGGAGAAGATGAATTATTTTGGCCCAAATCTTGATCTTTACTCAAACTCATGAGGCCCCTAGAGAGGTTTTCAGTCTATTGGGCCTTTAGGGTAGGTCACGACCCAAAATGGCATAAAAGAATGGGTTTTATGGTCAATTAGGGTTAATTGGAGTTGTTATGGCCCAATAAGGCCCATTAAGGGCAAACTGAAGAGGAATTGTAACGAGAAATCGAATAAGATCAGAGTTAAACAAGCTAAAGATCAATCAAGAACATAGAATGTAAATAGAATCTGGTTTCAACTCATATTACTCTCAAATGAACAAGAGTACAAAAATAGACAACATACTGGGAAAAGTTGTTATCTAACTCTAAGTTCAGTTCCTGTTTATAGGAAACCGAGAGTACAAAAAATACTAAGTCTAGGAGTTACGCTTCGAACATAAAATGACTTAGTAAATACATTACATATGAAACAAAGCAAATACACTTCGACTCTTTACAACAAGACTTCGACCCTAACAATCTTCCCCTTTGTAAACGAGTCGAACTACTTAGTTCGTGAGAATCTGAGCAGCGAAGTGCATCATCCTTCTGATTTCCGAATACCAAGTTAACACTTTCTTTAACTCGGTCTTGTCTCCTTCATTATTCTTCATATAACTATTTATATGAACAATGAAGTTTGTATATTGTGAAGTTGTGTATCTTTCTATCTCAGCAACTTGGAATAAGAGTCTTTTGGCTTTCCCCTTTGTATCTTTTCCCGCAAACACCATGCCAAGAGGTTTTAAGCATATCTCACCATCTGCAAACTTCTTCAGTTCATGTTGAGGCTTCGAAGGTAACATAGCAACTGTTATTTTCCTTTCCATACCCGAAGCCAACTCTTCGTCCGTTAGGGCCAGACAATCATAGTAATTGTCAATGAAAATTTTAATGTGAGCAAGACCAAGTCTGAACACATCTTTGTCTGTACCCTTCATTTGAGATACTTCCATATCCTTCAAGATTAATGCAACTTGAATCAGATCATTCAAGTTCATTAGTGGGAAATCTGCTACACTGAAGTCAGCTTGTTGATTGTTCGCACGAACTACATGATACCTAAAGTTGTGTATCATATCTTCGAACAAAACATCTTTCTTTATTGCAACAACCTTTTTGATTTTGATAAGAGACCACACTTCTTCGGGTTCCTTTCCAAGTACGGCATGAAAACTAATTTTCATGTGTGTGTAGTCATCAGCATTTTCAAACTTCTCGCTTATTTTGTACTGAGCTGTAATGAACATCATTTCATTAATAGGGAAATCAAGCTGATTCATGTCTGTGTTGGCTATGGAATGAATTTTCTTCGGCTTCTTTTCGAAGGCATACATGTGGTTGAATGAAACCCTTGACTCTATAGATTCGTAACTATAGAGTTTCTTCGGATCTCCCTTCTCCATGCCTGGAGGATCACTTTCCCTCAGCCTCAAAATACTTTGAATATGCCTCTGAAGTTCTATCTCAGCTTCGACTTCTGCTTTCTTTTCTTCTTTTGACTTTTCGACTGCAAAACCTTTTCCTTTATCCTTCAAAACATGATTTGGTTTTGAAGAACTTGAGCTTCCCCTTTCAGTTGATGAACCAATTACAATCCCTTTGACAATAGGTTTTGCAATTGGTTTTGTAGTCACAATTGTTGTTATAATAGGATCAGTTTTGATAGGTAATGAAGTCGAAATTTGCGAAGTCAGAACCTTCCTTACTACCTTTGCATCTTCATTTGTTTTTCCAATGCCTTCTCCCTTATTATCATTCTTCGACCCTTTGCTCACCCTCCTTTCTCCCCCTTCCACCCCAGTGACAGCAGGTGGGGCATGCTGTGGCAACATCTGAGCAAACTTTGTTATGGGAGCAACAGCCTTTTGTATGACTTGATCAAGAATGTTTAACTTCTGAGTAAGAAACTCAGGAGTTAAGAATGAAGTTGGAGTGGGCTTAGAGACAACTTCTTTCAACTCTGCAAGTAAGGCATTTAGTTTCACAAACTGATTTTTGTCTTCAGTTGCCTTGGCTTCGAACGATGGTATAGTTGCTTGGAATGATTGTATGAAATTAGTTACAGCCCCAACTATGATATCAACTTTCTCCTGAATCGAGTTGTAACGATCATTCACTTGATGAATTTCACTCGAAAAATCCTTCTTCAATTCTTCAAGTTTGAGATTCACATCCTCTCGTACCTTCTTCACATCTTGTACGAAGAGAACATACCTCTCTTTTGTAACATTTTGAAGCTCCTTCAACGAAGAGTTATACAGATCACCCTGAGCTTTGATTCGAAGTTCGTTATTTTTTTTCATTTAGATCAAGTTGATGTTGCAGACGATGCTCTACAGCTTTTAGCATCACATAAACTTCTAATTCCCGATACAGAATGCTTTGCACCCGAGTCCGCTTGAAATTGAAGAATAGAATTAAGTTTTCGATTGAGAACTTTAAATTGTTTTCCTGACATAAGCATATGATCAGGAATATCTTCTTCCTCTTAATCGAAGTGCAAGTCTTCAAATGTTCCTCTGAAACCTCCTCTTTCTATTTCATCATCGGAATGAGGCTTTTGTGGTTCAGTGGATTGTGATGAAAATAGAGTTGTGATAGGTTGTTTAAGGATATTGTCAAAGATTGGTGATGTGGTGACAGTGGATATAGGATGAATGAATGGTGGTAAAGAAACCAATGATGATGAGGAAATGATTGGTAATGAAGCAGAAAGATAAATGGGTTGCGAAAACGTCGACACTCACTGAATCATTTGCTCCCGTATCAGATACGTTAGCAGGGATGTTTGAAATAGGGACCTCCTCAGAAATTGACTTGGTCACCACTATTTCGAGTGGAATAGTTGTTGAAGGTTCAATAGAAATAGTAGGAGTAACTGATGAAATGATAGGAACAGAAGTTACCAAGGGAGAAGACGAAATTGGCGGTGTATCAAGGACCACTTCGTTTTCGGACGAATCGTCACGAAGAACGATTTTTGCTTGTACCGCTTCTTTGAGATATGTTTGACTACATCTTGAGCTCTTCGTTTCTTAGATGATGGAGAAGAAGGAGTAGGGATATCACGAACAATGACCCTTTTGCTACTGACTTGAACTTTATGAACTGTCTGTGAGTTATCAGACAAAGTTCGTTTGTGTGACATTCTTCGTAACCTTTACAATACTCCTGACTTTGATGGCATTACCTCCTTCGAAGGCTTAGCAGCAACAACCTCTTCTGCCCTCTTCGTATCACTTTCAGGCTTGTTCTTAAGAGACTTGGATTTAGGCTTTTTCATATTTGTAACTGGTACCTCTGCTTCATCAACCTTAGACTTCTTGGATTGTTTAGAAGTTCCAGCTTCGACTGTAAGCAGAACCCTTATTTCCACATCTGAATTAATCGTCTTCAAATACTTCACAAGAACCTTGTGAGTAGGATTCACCTTCTTTATCATAGCATCTGGAATTCGTGCTACACTTGGAAAAATATTCTCATCATCCTCGACAACTTTCGGAAACTGATACTTTGCAAATTCAGTAGTAGTTTCATCAGCAGGGACTTGGATTCCCTCTTTTTCATATACCTTCTCAAGAACTAGGCTCCAGTACCTTGCACACGAAATCCCCTTTACCAGATTCGGGTTCTCCATACTTTTGACAAACTCCTTCCATAACTGAGTGGCATAATCAACACTCAAATCATAGTAAAGACCCATTACCATTGCATAAACTTCCAGTCTGCCCTTGTCAAGTCCTACACTTCTTCCAGTCAAGCATCTGAGGTAAATTCCAAATAAGAAGTTCCACATACAAGGAAGTCCTGATTTCTTGATATCACTAATCTTCTCGAGTGGGGGCTGGTGACCCATCTCGTTGAACATGTGCATGATTTGTGGATTCGTAGGCTTGAAGAATGATGGAGAGTTAGGAATTTCCAGAAACTAAGTGAACATCTTCAACTTCAATCGAACTCTCTTCTCATTTATTAGATTAAAGGTAATGACATCTCTGGCCTTGTTATAAGAAGCAGTTGAGGCAGCCATTGACAACCATGTCATCAGGACTGCAAACGAGTTGAACATTGCAGTTGCTAATCCAGATCGTTTCAGGGCAACGATTAGCATTTTCAATTCCTCAGGATACAATGAAACATTGGCCTCAACTTGGTAATTGTTGCTTTGAATTTTCATCAAAGGTTACGATTCAACCTCATCAGTGTTGGAGTTTTGAATAGCAGCCATTTGTGAGTTCTTAAAAACTTTTGAGAAAATTAGGGCTTTTTGGTAGTCTGATAATTTTTGATCGCGTAAGGATCAAAGGAAAAGGATTTTCCTTTTATATGTAAGCCCAAAATAATTTGAACCATTTATCATTAAAGAGTAGGCCATGTCTTTCCTTGAAAGTCGCACCAGTAGCCGTCTATCCCATCACGTCTCATAAAGTGCTTTGAAACTAGGGCCAAGTTGCCAAATGATTACTTTAGACTGTTCGTGAGTACAAAGTGGATAAGATCGAACCCTTCGGATTGGAGGCTAGGCTCTTTCGTTTTTGGGATTCGAAACGAAGTCATTTGCCAGTCTTGTGAAATCTTCAGCCTAAGTTGGTATTACTTAGAACCTCAAGGATTTCGTGAGTGCAGTGTGCCAAGGAAAAAGATAGGAAGCAAATTAACAAAAATTTGGGTTCTGTGATGTCGAAAATTTCGACACGAAGTCAGTTAAACCCCGGGAAAAGGTTGCTTCGCTAATTATCAAGAGAGATAATCAACAGCTTGTGTATGTTCCCGTGAAGTACAATCGAATACTTATAGAGAAGTATCAAAGGGCTTCTTTTTCAAGGCTTCAAAGGGTGGCTTACGAATTTCGTTACATATCATCCTAAACATAAGGTGAGTAATTGTAACCGAAATTACTTGTTTGACCAGTGTAGTCAGTGACAAGTTGCTTTGGAAAATTTTGTAAAAGTGACATCCAAAGAAAAATATTTAAGCTGGATCTTGTTGGGAAACAAATGTCGTGGGCTTCGAACATTTGATCAAGACCACTCATACGAAAGAATGTGATTTGGAGTATACGAAATTTTTGGTACAGAAACAAGTGTTTCGTAAGAATCTGGAATAAAGATCCCCATCAATTCCTTGATAATTTCGTATATTTGGGTTTCACTTGCATCGTGGTCTCATGAATTAAGATCATTAACACAGATTTTTGACATGTCTAAGTCATGATTGGTTTGATCAATGACCTCATGAACATGTGTCTTTGTGTGTGAAAAGTGTTAAGAATTTTGTGATGAAAAAGATTGTTTAAGATTCGAATGTACCTCTGTTAGACTTGGACCAAACATTAAACTCTTAACTCATTTGAGAAGAGTAAGGTAGCTCAGTGACTAATGCGAATGTAAGCCTGATTGGGAAGAAACTTTCGTATGAAAATTTTCATTAAAGCTTTCGTAAACACACATTGAGTCTTTGGAGGCTTGGGTCGACATGCTGCAGCATGCTTCTAGAGACATCTTAACTAGTGCATAGTTTGAAGAAAAATACCTTCCCTAAGAAACATAAGCATGACCCTTGAAAAATTCTTTGTGTAAACTTGATACCTGAAAAATAAAAAAATAACAAAGTAAGAAAAATCTTTTTGGATTTTATATTTTTGAAAAGAAAGAAAAATATTTTTGAGATTTTGAATTTTTCGAAAAATAAAACATGCAACAAAAGAAAATCTTTTTGGTATTTTAGAATTTTCGAAAATGATTACAAAAAAAATAAAAATATTTTTGGTTTTTCAATTTTTCAAAGAATAAAAGACAAATAATGAAATTTAAAGATGATACCAAACACACGAAAATTTTCAGCTCCAATATACGAAAACGAAGCGTGTCGAAGCGCTGAATGTGAACAGTAACCTCTGAATGGTTAATACGATCAGCCTCTGAATAAATCATTTTGCCTCTGAATCGACACCTTTTCACCAATAGGAACTTCGTTAATTTTGTATGATTGATCCTGGTACAGAATTCGCATCTAACATTCCCAAACCTGCCAAAATTCTCATAAAAGATTTTTCATCAAGAGGTTTTGTGAAAATATCAGCAAGTTGATCAGTTGTTTTCACAAAATGAACTTCAATATTTCCATCTTCAACGTGATCTTTTATGAAATGATAACGAAGAGCAATATGTTTCGTTTTCGAATGTTGTACTGGATAATGACAAATGTGTATAGCAATTTGTGAATCACAATACAATGGAATCTTTTTCATATTAATTGCATAATCACGCAATTGGCTTTGAATCCAGATGATTTGAGAAGTACAAGCAGCAGCAGAAATGTATTCAGCTTCAGCAGTGGAAAGTGAACACAAGTTGCTTTTTCGATTGCCAACTGACAAGCTTCCATCCAGTAATTGACATCCTCCACTGTACTTTTTCTATCAAGAGTACATCCACCAAGATCTGAATCCGAAAAGGCTTGAATGAAAAATCCAGATTTCGAAGGATACCACAATCCTAACGAAATTGTTCCTTTGAGATAACGAAAGATATTCTTCACAGCTGTTAAATGTGGTTCTCTTGGATTCGCTTGATACCTAGCACAATTACATACATAAAACATGATATCAAATCTACTTGCAGTTAAATAAAGTAGAGAACCTATCATGCTTCTGAACAAAGTAAAATCAACAGCAGATGTATCTAACGAAGGTGTTAATTTCGTTCCAACTGCCATTGGCACTCTTAGCTTCGTGCTATTCGTCATTACAAACTTCTCAAGCAAGTTCTTCGTGTATTTTCTGGTTAATGAAAATTCCTTCTCTGCTTTGATGAATGTTTTAACCCAAGAAAAATTGTTGATTTTACCCATCATGCTCATTTCGAATTGACTCTTCATTAAATCTCAAATTCACTAGACAAAAGCTGGTCAGTAGAGCCAAAAATAATATCGTCAACATAAATTTGAACAAGCATTAGATGATTCCCAACTTTCTTACGAAATAATGTGGGGTCAACTGATCCTTGTTTAAATTTCGACTATTTTAAGAAATTGGTAAGTGTTGCATACCATGCTCTTCGTGCTTGTTTTAACCCATAAACAGCCTTATCTAAGATGTATACATGATTAGGAAATTCTTCGTTAATGAAACCTGGTGGTTGTTCAACATACACAGTTTCTTCAACCTCTCCATTCAAGAATGCACATTTGACATGCATTTAAAAACATCAAAATCCTTATGAGCTGCATAGGCTAAAAATATTCGAACAACCAATTTATTTTGGACAAAAATGGCCCAAATGCTAAGTTTCATGGAAGTGGGTCCAATTAGAGCCCATTTAAGGGTCCTAAGCCCAAAATAGTCAAATTGGAAGCTCATTGGTCGATTAGGCCCAATAAGGAGATCCTAGTCTATAATGGACTTAAACCAGGGTTCTTAGGGTTTCAGACTCTTTGTTGAACATGAGAGGTGAATTTAAATGAGCACTGAGTGATATTTACTTAGAGTACATGGTTTACAATAGTTGAATGATTACACGAGAATAGAATTTCCTAGCTAAAATGCTAGTTGTGACATCATCCCCCCGTTAGAGGGAATTTCGTCCCGAAATTCTTTTGAAAAATAGGATTATAAAGGAAAGAATAAGTGAGGGTACTTTTGCTTCATTTGGTCTTCACGTTCCCACATGAATTCCGGTCCACGTTTAGCGTTCCATCGAACCTTCACAATCGGAATGCGACTTTGCCTTGTACGCTTCACTTCCCTATCCATAATATGGATTGGTTCTTCGACGAACAGGAGATTCTCGTTTATCTCAATCTCTTCCAAAGGAACGACAAGGGTTTTATCTGATAGACAGTTTTTCAGATTCGAGACGTGGAACACAGGGTGTACGTTGCTGAGCTCGGCAGGTAGCTACAGCTTGTAAACCACTAGACCAATCCGGACAAGAATCTCGAAACGGTCCAATCCAAGTATCGCGGGGTTCAGTTTACGTTTCCCAAAGCGAATCATTCCCTTCCAAGGAGAGACCTTTAATAACACGTGATCCCCGACTTGAAATTCTAATGGCTTTCGCCGCTTGTCAACATAGCTCTTATGTCGGTCTTGCGATGCTTGAAGTCGAGCTTTGATTTGGATTATCTTTTTGGTCGTTTCATGGATGATTTCGGGTCCTGTAAGAGCACTTGCCGGCAATTGCCCTTTTGCTAGTTGGGTGTCACCCACCTCGGCCCAGCGTAGGGGCGATCTGCATTTACGACCATAGAGAGCCTCGAAGGGAGCAACCTTGATGCTCGGTGATAACTGTTGTTATAGGAGAATTCGATCAGAGGCAAGTGGGCATCCCATGATTTTCCAAATTCAATCACGCAAGCTTGGAGCATATCCTCGAGTTTCTGGATGGTACGCTCACTCTGACCATCCATCTGTGGGTGGTAGGCAATGCTCATATCTAGTTG